AAGCCTGAAGACAATGGAACATTCACCTGTACCATGAAACAAACTAAAGGACCAAAGAGGGTCACAAGCAAAGATAAAAACATACAAGTGACAGTTATGAGTGAGTGACCAATGAGATAATATATAGAAAGTCATAAAGTCAGTTCTTCAAATGTTATTGATTTAATTTACTCAATTTCAAAACCTTTTCGCTGTTCATATCCGCAGCCATGTGAGGCGACAATTTATCGTGAATACGTTTGTTAATTTTTAGTTGTTTGAAAGTAGGGTGTCATGTTGAAAAAATTATACTTAAGTTATTTGTCAACAGTGCGGTTTCCTCGTCACAACTCAAGGTAAGTCCCCTTTGATGAAGTTTATAGTTTCTTTTCATGCTGGTAATGTGCTTAAATCGACTTCGGTTGGTCGTGGTGACAAATTCACTTTCTGAATGCAGTATAATCGTTTGTCTCGCCATGAAGTCACTTTGGATATGGATCGCGACTTTTTGACTGAATATTGTGTCTTCTTCGTACTATAAGGTCGGTAGATATGCATGACCTTATGAAACTCCCTGTTTGGCTGTGATTGGCTGGAATCCCACACAGGCTTCGATTGGCACGCTTTGACCAAATGTTCTTTTGGAGTCTACTGTCGCAAAATTATCCTGTACTTGTGTTTCTTGTGGTCAGCATCCATGTTTCTTCTCTACTTGCATAGGTTTGCCTGTTCCGCTGATGTAAACTTTGGCGTACTCATAGGGAATCTTGCAAACCACGGGCTCTTGATTTTTGCAGTGCTATTAATGGCGAGTGTGTTGTTACTATTTGTAACATCTGTGAAGTGAATGGAATGCTTTCGGTTCTTCAAATGCTGTAGCAAGCTATCAGCGTTTTCGCGAACCAAGATTGTGAATCTGTCATATACATAGCGTTTCCAGATCCTTCGCTGGTAGGATATCGATTGCTCCTATAACTCTCTCTATGTGTAGATTAGCAATTACGGTGGAGACCATACTCCCCATGGCTGCGCCTTCTGTCTTTCGTAAATTGGTCCGAGATAATAGGAGTATTTAGACCTCAATACGAAGTTCGAAAGGTCCACGATCTGACAAACGATTACACTTCATATAAAGCGCTAGTGTCATTATCAAATGTTCATTTAATTACGGTGTCTAATGTGATCAGTGTAAATGATACTGGAATACCTCCTATTTTCCAAGGACTTGTTATTTATTTACCTCTTAGTTCGACCAAAAGAGGATATTTTTGGAGCACGTGATCGCATCATAGAAGGAGAAAGTGTGAACTTGACGTGTAAAGTTGAAGCGGGTCGGCCTGAACCTCAGATCACATCAGGATAATACATTTAAAGGAAATAGTTTGTCTCTCTTCTTTCCTGAGATAACAAAGGAGGACGAAGGGGGGTACACATGTAGGGCAAAAAATGCAGCAGGCTGTTCCACCAAAGACGTTAACATTTCTGTAAAGGTATGTTCGTAAAGCTCACAACCGTATTATAAATCAATTATGCATTTGAAATGTCTACGGAGTGTGGATCAATAATCAGTGGGCCCGATTCTAAATTAAGGGGTCTGTGTCTGAGCTAAGGGTAGGGTCATCGCAGAAAATTATCAGAAAAATGAAAAAAAAAACAAGGGCTTTCAGCTATTACCTGCGACTGATTCACCAGTGAGGACCAGGTCCTGAATGAATAATTTTTTCAGACCGCCTCATTAGTTATTTATTGCGAAGAACTGGAAAGTCTTTATAATTGCTCCTGTGTTCCCGCTCTAAAAATTTAATGATTTCATGGTTAAATTGTTAATATAGTCTGACTGACATGGTTTTTGGAAGCATTCGTTTGATATGATCAAAAAGTGGTTCATTTTCATCTTCTTTTTCTTCTTCTTTTTAATTGTTATTTATTCTTTTTATTATTTTTTTTACTTTTTGCGGGCGGGAGGGGGGGGGGGGGGGGGGGGGGGGATTGGGGTGGCTTCTAATTTTGTCATTTGTGTTTACATGCTTACTTTGCAGTTCCACCCCGTATTAAAGAGTTCAGAAATCTCACCATTGCATTTAACTCCCCATTTAAAGAAGAGTGCTATTTGGGAGGTGATCCAAAAGTATCTGTCAACTGGACCAAAGATGCAGTGCTAATTAGTAAAAACAACACCCTGGTTATTAGACAAGTGACGCTTAAATATAAAGGCAATTATGAATGTACTGCTAAAAATGATTATGGTAAAGAAAAATCTTCCTTCTGGATCGATGTGACTGGTAAACTCTATATTGCTGTTTATGTAATTTACCAAACTTGTAACTTAACAAAGCGTTTGTTTTTGAAGTTTAAGCCAAATTTAAATAGACCTATTTTTTCTCTCTTTTCATCTGTTTCCTTTAAAATATCGAAGACCAAGGAACCAAGGAGTCATGATCTTATGATAAATTTTCATTAGTGAAACAATAAATATAACTTGGAAAAAAGATGGAGACTCACCACCCGAAAGAGCAAAGATTGATACACGATTCGATGACAAAAAGAGTTAACTTGCTATAACTGAAGTTGTGAAGGAGGACAGTGGTGTGCATTCTTGTGAGGCACGTAACAAGCTCGCTTTTGTTGCCCATTCCTTTGTTAAAATAAACGTCAAAGGTAAGCTGGTGTTACCGTTGTGTCTTAAAAAAACATACGACTTTACCGATTAAAAAAATATATTTGCAAATAGATTAAAACTATTTTTCAGTTAAAGACGAAATAAATATGGGTCACCTTACCCCATTTACATGAAATTCTGTGAAATTCAGGTATTTCGTTTTTAAGAAAATAAGGAAATGTTTAAACTTGTTGAATACGTTTACTGAGGGGGGTGGGATACACTGAGCTACGAGTCTAAGAGTAGAGATATTTTTATAAAAATCACTCGCATGCCGCCAAAAAATGCTAATTGCAGAGTTTTTCACATCCCTAAATGATATCATTATCATTTCCATTATTTTTAACAGTGTGTTGAAAATAATTATAAATTCAGCAAATATCACGTCCCTCCTAATCTGTGCAAATTCAAATTATACTGCCATTACACAGAAATTTGATTAGAATATTCGATCTGATAAATTAATGCAAAGTTTTACCTTCTTTATCCCCTTTAATTCATCATTTGGAATTACAGCTATGGTTCTGTAAGGCAACTATTTTACCTTTTATTCATCAAATTCATCGAAAGAAGAAAAAACCTACACCATTGCATGATGACGATAACAAAAATCATATCGCAGTGACTTTACTTTTATCGTGTTTATGATGCATTATTAACATTCATCAAGTGTTGTTAGAATCAGCTTCATAAGTTCCTTTTGTTTAATTTTTTTATCTCATTAGTATCTTCTACCAATTTTTGGTTAGATTTATCCTTAGATTTAGTACTAAAAAAATTGAAATGCAAAAATTGAAATTTTCTGATTTAAAAACCAACTGTTTCTTGTTTGATTTCAACTTCATCCGATTGACACAGGGTACTTAAATAACAATAATTACTGATATGTTTTGTTATAATTTATGTTCTTGGTTTATTAAACTATTTTCTCACTATCGGCAAGAGAGATTATCTCGCCAATCATGTTATCCTCGCAAATCAAATTTTTACCCTCTGATTTCTCTTTTCTTTGTTTTGAACCTGAAAGTATACAATGTTGACTTCCTCTATTTAGTCCTGACCAAGAGCAGGCAATTCAGATGGAGCCATTGAATGCAGAGGTAGATGAGTGGGAGGTTGCGGTTAACCGTGTCCTGCTACAAGACGTCATTGGACGAGGGGCGTTCGGAGCCGTGTGGAGAGCTCTCCTGAGTTCACCAAATGGACAACCTGGAAATCGGACGGTGGCCGCTAAGTGTTTCACGCGTAAGCCTCCTTCAATTTGTTCTATTGATACATATGTTGATCTCAGGGGTGAGTACAAAAATTTTTTATTTGAGGAGAGAGGGGGAGTGAAGGGGTGGTCCAAAATTACTTCTCGACCAACGCACACCCACCTCTTCTTCACTCAAGGTTACGCGCGGGAAAAAAAAGAAGGCGAGGGAGGAGCAAACAGACAAAGGAGATAATCAACCAGTTCGGTCGTAAAAGTGGTCCTGCAATAATTCTTGTTTCCAACAAGTGGTGTAAAAGGTC